GTCGGCCCGAGACCTTGAAGATTGACATCTCCGAGTGTAGGGGAGTCGAAGAGGACTCCCTCTAGAGATGGTTCGTCGAATTGGATGACGCCATAGGGCGCGTCGCATCGACGACGGGGATATGCAAGTTGCATTTGGCCAATCGTGCCAAGACTTGGGCTTTGGGGCTCAAGTTGCACGATCCATATGAGTTCGGATCGTTGGAAGTCTTCAAGTCGCGGCTCAGACAAACGTTTGAACCGCCTAGAGCTGAGTTCAGAGCTCGGACCGAACTCTTGAAGCTCAAACAAGGTAAGCGTGATGTGCACGCTTGCGCACAACATATACGACATCTCACGAGTTGTATAAGTTCCAATCCGGTGGATGAACACACGTTGGTTTCGGTGTTCATGCAGGGTCTTGCGGATGGTCCCGTCAAGACTCACCTGTTCCGGCTTGAACTAGATTCACTAGAACAAGACATTTCCATTGCGGAACAGGAAGACTTCAGTCTGAGACAGGCTCGCGCCAGCTCGACATCATATCGTCTACCGAGACGATATGATAACGGAGGTCCAGAGCCGATGGAACTCTGTTACGTAGAGAGCGAGAAGGCTCGCTCTACAGGCTACAAGAAGTTGCAGAGATGCAACAGATGTCAAAAGACAGGACACTAAGCTTACGAGTGTAGTGCCCCTCGTCCAGTTTCTCGTAACACTGAGCGTAGTGACCGTCCACCCATGAGAAAGGGGCAGGGACGAGGGTCCGCTGTTGGTGCAAAGACGCAACAACGGGATGGACCGTAAGAAAACGGACAGGATCAAAAGGTGCGGAGCACCCTACTGGTCCAGCAACATCAAGAGAATTTGTAGGCCTCTTGATGAAGGTTACTCCCAACACACAAACGTTGTGCGTTGCTGCTCTAGGTAATGAGGTCTCACTCATTATCTTGAAACTCGAAGTGACGAATAAGTTGTCCCTTCGAGCTCTAGTCGATTGTGGGGCGTCCAACAATGTTGTGCGACGCCAATCGCTAGAAGATGGTCACTTTAAATTCAGTGAATGTGACACACCTCCTACGACGATGACGGTACGTCTTGCGACAGGCGCATCCGTAACCGTCATGAAGCGTATAGTGAAGATCCACTATACGCTAAAAGATACCCAATACGACGATGACTTTATCGTATTGGATTTGGATGACAAATTTGATGTCATCCTTGGAATACCGTGGCTCAGAAGGTACGAAGCACGAGTAAACTGGCAACATCGAACAGTAACGATGCCTGCCGCTTGTTCATCAGATGGCCATCTGATGAACGTTTTGGAGCTTCCACAAGCGTGTGGATGTACTACGAGTGAGTGCGATGGCCTCACTTGTGGTACGGTCGTTAGCACGACTGCACGAAACCTTAGTGTAACAAATATTTACACTTCGGAGCAAAGCTCCGGCGGCTGTGACGAAACACAGGCTGCGCCGAAGGTCCACCACTCGAATAAGTCGAGTGGACCGGGACAAAGATGTATCCCTAGCGGGGAACATCTAGAAGATAAACAATCGATCGCTCAGGTTAAGCGAAACGATAATCCTAGATCGACTGAAGAGTCTTTCGTAGAGGATCTCGCTGTGGTTGCGCAACCCCAGCTAGAGGAAGTTAAGGGAATAAGTCCCGATATTACAAATACGGCGGAAATAAGTTCCCCGAAACCCGCGGGAATAAGTCCCCGGGAAGCCGAAGGAGTAAGTCCTTTGAGGTTTGAAGGAATAAGTCCCCAGGAAATGACAGAGACATTAAATGTCATAGTCAATAACGGATCAAGCGTAGGCGCTTATACACTTGATCTGATTGCGCCTCCGAAGTTGACTTCGGAGATCACTCAGTTGCCAACGCTCGAACATAAAAGGTTCTTGCGTGATCTGCGTAGTGGCAAAGTCAAGCAGATCTGCGTACTCGTCGCTGACGACGCGTGTGTAACCGACATAATGTCAGCAACAGTGTTCACTGAGAACGAGAGAGTTCTCAGTAGTTCATCTATGGACGAGAGTGTCCTAGATGAAAAGACACGAATTGAGCGATATGACTCCCAATCATGGGAATCGCTCAAGACAAATCCTTTCTATGAAGATTTGGTTGAATCAAAGGATGTATTCCCTGAAACTGTTCCGTGCGAATTACCGAAGGATAAAGGTACTCGACACGAGGTCGAGCTTAAACCAGGCTCGAAGTACTGTGTCATGAAGCAGTGGCCACTGCCTCGTGAACAAGTACTTGCGATCGACAAGTTCTTTGCCGATCGTTTAGCTGCGGGCCATGTGACAGAATCAACTTCCCCACATAGCTCTCCGACCTTCTGTGTGCGAAAAGCAACAGGAAGGTGGCGGATAGTGCATGCATTTAACAAGTTGAATGCTGCAACGGTACCGGCTCAGACACCGATACCGAGGAAGGATGTAATCATTGATGGTATGTCAAAGAGTACCATCTTTTCGTCCATGGATTTGATGGATGGCTTCTATCAAATCCTTATGCGGGAAACGGGATATACCCTATACCGCAGTTAGCACGCCTAGCGGCATGCTCTGGGAATGGCTAGTAATGCCACAAGGGCTCAGTAATGCCCCTGTCACGCTCAACAGATGTGTATCACATCTGTTGAGACCAGTACGAGAATTCGCGCCGAGTTATTTCGATGACGTATTCATCCATAGTCGAGCTATGGATGGAAAGTCGGACGTTAAGGTTCACAGGTACCACGTCCGGCAGGTTCTTACAATCATGCGAAAGCATCAATTGTATGCAAACCTCAAGAAGTGTATATTTGCAGCAAGCGAAATACCACTTCTTGGGTGCATCGTTGGTAAGAACGGTGTACGTCCTGATCCCGAAAAGATTAAGGCGATCACCGACTGGCCTGTGCCGGTTGATGTCAAAGGTCTTCGAAAATTCCTTGGGCTAGCGGCGTATTTGCATAAGTATTCACGCAATTGCGCCGAGATGACTGTACATCTCTCTCGTTTGTTGAAAAAGAACGAGAGGTGGTTATGGAACGCTGAGTGTCAGCGCTCCTTTGATGGTATTAAGCAGAACTTGATACAATCCCCAGTTCTAGCAATAGCCGATCTGGACAGGTCATTTCATGTGGTCTGTGATGCCAGCGATTTCGCAGTCGGCTGTGCATTAATGCAGTACGATCTTGAAGGCGTTGAACGCGTCGTCTGCTATCAGTCGCGTCAGCTGCAACCAGCTGAGCGGAACTATCCAGTGCATGACAAGGAACTCCTTGCCATGAAGTATGCACTCGCGAAGTTCAGAGTCTATCTATTAGGAGATAGACCCTTCATTGGTTACACTGACCATGCGTCATTACGCACGGCAGTGAACAGCCCGCACCTTTCACAACGAATGGCGCGGTGGTTGTCATTCTTTGCAGAATACAACTTTACGGTCGAGTACAAACCAAGACGACTTAATGTCGTCGCTGATGCACTCTCACGTCGTCCCGACTTTTAACCAGTCGTGAAACCCAACAGCGAGACAGTCACTGTTGCGGTTATGACGTCCTCAGTCCCATCTACAACGTTGCATGATGATGTGAGGCGGGCGTATGCCCAGATGGTGAGATTATGAAGTTGTTGACACATCTTTCACAGCCATCTCGAGAATCGTTGAAACGATTATCGTCTGCGTATCGACCTGCATCAGATCGATACACTACTCGCAACGAGTTTACCGTACGATACAGCCGTTTCTGGTGACACACCACGTGTTGTCATTCCAGATGATACTGATCTGCGTTTGCGGATCATGCTCGAGTATCACGACGCTCCTATAGGAGGACATCGTGGCCGGGAGAAAACATATCTCACGGTGAGTCGAGATTTTTACTGGCCCCGCCAGTATCAGTTTGTGCGAAAGTATGTTCGCGCATGCGAAGTCTGTCAGCGAGTGAAGTCAAGTCCTTCACGGCGTGCACCTTTACAGCCTCTACCGGTTCCGGCTGAGTGCTGGGAATCCATCAAAATGGATTTTGTCTTCGGGTTACCCAAAGGCGCACGCGGGAATACGGGTATTCTTGTATTTGTTGACAGATTCAGCAAAATGGTACACCTATCGGCTGTACCAGAGTCAATCACGGCAAGTGGCTGTGCTTGTGTCTTTATTGACACCATCTTTCGACTTCATGGGTTGCCCCGTGAACTCGTATCAGACAGAGATCCACGATTCACTGCTGATTTCTGGCGTTCCGTGTTCAAATCACTCGGAACGCGCCTGAAGATGTCTACATCTGATCATCCAGAGTCAGATGGTCAGACGGAACGTGCCAATCGTGTCCTCGAAGAGATACTTCGAGGATATGTACACTCCTTTAAGAGTTGGAGTGAGTTTTTGCCAATGGTAGAGTTTGCCATTAACAACTCGGTGCATGCGTCCACGACACATACACCGTTTTACGTGAATGGCTTGCGCCATCCGCGTGTACCCACCTTACTAGAGTGTAACTCTGGTTTAAGGGGGGGAGAGACTCGCGCGAGCAAAAACCGATTTGGTTCACGCTCATCACGCTCTGACGAAGAGGTCATTGCGTTTGATGCCGATATCGATAACATCGATATCGAAGAAGATGATGCCAGTGAGAGTGCGGAAGCCCTCACTGAAGAAAGGTTGATGTTGCTGCAGTGAACTCACAGCGCACTGAAGCTAACGAGTCATCAGATGAATTCATACTGGCTCGTAAAACGGTAGTCCGTTTTGTGCAAGACTCCATCTCCGTAGCGGTGGATAAGCAAAAGCAAAACGCTGATAAGAATGGAAGGGCAAACACTCTTTTATTTAATAAAGGTGACTTAGTCTTACTGTCTACGGCTAATATACCAAAGCATGTAGTGACTAACTTGGGTAGCAGTAAACTACTACCCAAGTACATCGGCCCATTTCGTGCATTGCACCGCCTAGGCAATGCATACACGATCGAGTTACCACGTAAGATGCGAACGCATCCCACGTTTTACGTTGGTCGGCTTAAGCCGTACCATCAGTACGCTGCTTCTTCCGATGAAGACCGCCATTGCGCTCAAGCATCTCACAGAGAGCCTTGTGCTCCCGATGTTGGGCATTAACAAGGGTCTGGAGAGCAGTTATCTCAACCCGAGACCGATCAACAATCCCACGAGCTACCCTTAGCTCGTCACGAAGAGATGTCAGAGCTCTCTCGTTCTCAAGCTGAGCAAAGGCAAACTCAGCTCGATGTTTCGAGACAGCGTCCGCCAGTTGGAGACGCCTGTCCCGCTCATGTTCGAGATCGCCGCGTAACCCTTGCGTTACGCGATCAAAGAAGCTCTCGGGAACACACGGATCACCACGATTGTGTGGAGAGCGTCTTTCCTCCTCCTCCGCCTCCATTAGAGGACTCTCGCGGTGGCCAGCGCTATCTGGTTGAGCAGCTGTTGAACCACCGCGACGTGAACGGACGTCGGACGAGTTATCTCGTCCGGTGGCGCGGCTATCCCCCGTCCTGGGATACTTGGGAGCCCCGCTCCCACCTGATGGTTGACATACTGGGTCTGGTCGAGCAGTACAAAGCGGCACATCCTGTGCCGCAGAAGGACCGCCGGAGAAAGTCTTCCCGGCACGGTCGTAAAGGGATTTCAGGTTGTCAATCCCTTCGTACATCTCAGTAGAGATACGTACGCGCCACCACGGGCTATTAGGGAGGTAAGCCTCCTTAGGTGCTCGTGCAGAGTTGTTCACACAACATGGGCACGAGTCTCCCCAAGAGAGGAAGGGTAATCCTTTCTCCCTTGACAGAAGATGCAGCTTGTAGCGTGCACCTGTCGGGGTTCGCTTTTCAAACTTATCACGAGCTTTGATAAGTTTGTCGTTCCAAGCGTCACGACCTACACCCTCAAGGTTATGGATGTAGGCGTTCCACGCCTGAAGCAGTGAGGGACCATCACGCTTGTGATTCCCACTGTACCATCGATGTCTAAAGAAAGCATCGATGAAGAATTTATTCTCAGCGCGATAGTTTTTCGCGCTGTGGTCAAGGTGATGGATCCTTGACGAATCGAACAATCGTGTTCGATAACGATCACTCGTCGTCGCTGACAAGCTATCCATGACGGATTTGGGAGGCATTCATGCCTTCTTCTCGGGAGCGAGACGCAAGACATTGCGATCCCGCTCTTCCTGCGATGTGCCGACAGAAGGACTGGCACCTCGTTGCGAAGTGGTGTCCATAGGAGAACCGACACCACTGTTAGCGCCCGAGTCTCGCGACCTCAAACGCCTTCGCTTCGGCGATGGTTCATCTGATTCATCAGATGAACCAAAGATGCTACGACGTATAGCATCATCCATGCCACGCTTGGTAGGCGGCTTGGATTCGATCGCCGTCGATACGGATCCGTCCTCCGTATCAGGAGAGTACGAGACACCGAGCTCGTACTCTGTGAAGACATGAGTGTCTTCATGACCAGCGCCTGCATCACCAAGTGACACAGGCTGGGTCGCTTCAGCAACCGATGAGACATCAGTTGCTGTGGTTTCTGCCTCGGCGTCCGCACAGAGACGTGCGGACGCGCTCTCGGCGGCCTTGCTCGCGCATCGCATGGGCTTGTTAACCATGCGATGGATTGTTGGGAAGTGGACTCGGACCAACAAGTGCAAACCCTGTCCCAAATGATTTGGGACGAGTATCCATTTAGTCAATCAGTCACTAAAGTGACTGATGGTTAAGGGGGGTGATGTAACGGGGTGAATTGTTGCATAACAATTTATAAGAAATTGTTAACAGAATATAACTATAAGAGTTACATTCTCAGAATATTGTCATAAGGACAAATATTCTGCAGCACTTAAGAGTAGTTCCTAATTGGTTGATATAGGCCATTATATCAACCAACGAAGACGCGCCACGACAGACGCACGCAATGAGTGGTGAGCAGATAGTTGATATGCACATTTGTATTTAGACATAGTTAGATGAGGATAAGCAGGGGGTTTATTGCAGACATTAACGATGATAAATACAGATCTACTTTTTACTTAAACCAAGTACTCGCTTCTTCTTGCCGTCTTCCTCTGCACGTACGAGTGTACGTGAAGTTACGAGGCACCGCCTTATTCTGTCATCAGAATAAGTAGCTTGTACTGTCACCAGTACAAGCTTCAGGGTGCCCCGTTACACTCTGCCCATACGTTTTAAAGGTGCGTATCAATAGACGTCATCGGAAGAGTGAAGAGGAATTCGAACAGGCGAGACTAAATGTTGCTGTAAATTGGGGATCGCAATTGTAGACAGTGGTGGTGGGCATGCAATGATGCTTAGACACCAGGCTGAAGAAGATATCCGCGGTATGTTCAGCCGCGATGGAAGCAGTGGCAGGTGAAAGATGCAGCATCCCACTAAACCTGTCCACGATGACGAAAATGCCGGTGCTCTCCTGCGCATCGGCTGGCAATCTAATAAGTGCTAACGATTTTTTAAAGATCCTTTGCTGTCGGAAGAGGACAAATAGGAGTCTGTGACGACGGGGTGGGCTTTACGCTCTGGCACATAACACATGACAGAAACTAATTGCGGTTCCACTTGTACATATGGGACCAATAGAAGCTCCGAGATAGCGCGAGATACATCTTCTTGCGGCCCGGATGACTGCTAGTGGCGCTGTCGGGGTGCTCGTGAAAAATGATAGCACAAATTTAAACGTGGAGATAGACGACGATGCGAGGCGTGTCATACTGATCAATTTGATGCGTAAGAAAATTCCCATCAATTGAGTACCGCGCAATCTGAGCAAGAAAGAAAGCTGAGAGTGAGCGCAATGCATTATCCGAGAAGTCACTACACTAGCGGGTGGTAGGCGAATAGTAACATGATGAGGGTACGCCTATGCAATGTCATCACGCAAATAGCTAAGCGCGGAAACTGCCGTATTGATACCCGAGGAACATCCCGGATAAGCAACAAATTTACCAGTGCCCACTTCTTTGCCTTTACGCTCAGCTTTGATAAGGGAAAACTGATGAGTGCAAACTCAGTCGTCATCCGGCGTGTTTAATAGCGATGCTAAATTCACATCGACAGCGCTTTAGCTCGAGACGCTTTACACTCTTGCCGCTGTAATTTGAAACGTCGAGTTTAAATGCATTAGACCTCGTGAAGGCTGCGGGAAGTTGAGGCTTACCGACGCAATTCGGCAAGCTCGCGGACAGCGAAGTCTTCGTTGGCTACACGCTGTAGTCGCTTAGGCGTGTCCTTCAGCATGGCAACTACGTTAGAGATACCGGCCATGTATTCCAGGCGACGGATACCAATCGAAAGGGGTATCTGATCAAAGCCATCTTGTGTCAACGCCCACCTCCATCTGCTCCCTGTATCGGTAGAGCGATCACATTTGCTGAAAGTACTACAAAGTGCTACCAGGTGTAACGAGGCTAGATCACCGTTACTTGTAAAGGATAGCTTCGTAGTGAGCGCTTCAGATTAGACTTAACTCTAGTATTTACATTCTATAGTTTTGTCCCTAATCTACAATATACGAGTGCTCTCGGATCCACGAGACCACTCATCTAAAGGTTGTTTCCTATTGGCTAGTAATGAGACTCTACTCACTAGTAGAAAAATAGTAATCTGACGCACTAGACCCATTATCTTGGGTGCAGTGTATACTTACACATGCATGAATACTCATGCGGGGTTTCAACAAGCTATGTAACGGGAACATCCCCTAGCATGTCGAGGCACTTCTTCAATACCAAAAATAACACTGCACTCAGTTTATGGTTCAGAGAAGTCAAGCGTCACAAAGCACAAACATAACGGGGCACCCTGAAGCTTATACTGATGACAGTACAAGCTACAGTCTTCCCTCTGCTAAGTTATCCCCGGCTATGGAATAACCTCCGGTAAGTTATAGGATTCGGTCTTCACCGACCTCGTTCTATGGTGTCTACGGAATAAGTTATACGGAATAGCCTGAGGGCCAAATACAACTTATCAGAGGGAATATTTTTGTCCGCCGTGAGCAGAAATATTGTACGCAGAACCTTTTTCTTGTTATTCACTGCAAGAAAGGAGTGGAAAGAGGAGAGGGAACTACTTCAGCCAGGAATCAAGTGTGGCCTGAGTGGTGCTCGCACTTCGGAGATCAGCTTGGACTTGGCGAAGGGTCCGGTGAGCTATACGATGGGACTCCTGAGAAAGGTCGAGAAGGGCGATGGATAGACTAAGGCTGGCAAGCTTTTCAGCCTTCGAATGCTTTTCCACCTCCTCCTCCGCCTCAGCAGCGCCTTCCTCCTCCCCATACGGATCCTCAACAAGCTTGATGATTTCGGCATCGGTCAGCTCCGCATGCGCCGTCTCCTCCTCCTCAGCCGGATTGAGAAGAGAAGCGATCGACGTGGGATTGCGGAGCGGGAGCCTTTCCAGCGCCGAAACAAGATCCTGTTCCACGCGCTGCTCCTCTACTGCAGCAGCTGCTGCCTCCTGCTGGGCCTGCTGGCCAACAGTGCCGGCTTCGTTTTCACCCCCACCAGTCGGCAGAGCCGGACCGTCCATGAGTCCCGTATGACGGAAGCAGTTAGCGATTGTGGCACTGGAAATCTCGCTCCACGCAGCCAGCGACCAGCGCATGGCCGTGAGCTGATCAACCTTGTAAAGGTTGGTTTCTCCGCGCTCGTCACGGTACAAGGCATTCTGCAGATGCAGCCGGCGGTAGTGCCTCTTGAATGCGGCAATAATCCCAGCATCCATGGGTTGGACCTTGGAAGTCGTATTAGGAGGAAGAACCTGGACCGTGATGTTGGTGAGTTCCAGGTCAGCAACAATGTGTGAAGGAGCGTTGTCCATGAGAAGCAGGATTTTTCTATCCTTTTGCTGTGGTCAACGCGTTAGTCAAACCTCCTTTACTGTACCACAACGATGATGTTCAAGGCATGCCCCAAATTACCTTCATACTTTTGTCGACGTCTCCCAGCCATTCCTGGAAGAGTATGCCAGTCATCCAGGCTTTCTTGTTGTTGCGGTAGAGAAAGCCCAGTCGCCCAGCTGTCTTGCGCTCAAAACACCGCGGCTTTTTAACGTGTCCAATTAAGACCGGCGGCAGTTTGTCGGATCCATCAGCGTTTGCCGTGAGAGCAACTGTGATGCGCGTCTAGAATAGTTGTTAGTGTCAAAGAAACGCAGGAAACCAAGAGGAGAGCAATAATGTACCTTGTCTTTTTTAAACCCTTCGACCTCTTGCTGGGCGATCGTTTTGTCGGGCGTCATACTGTAGAACAAACCTGAACAGAAAGTGAGCCTTTGAGATGCTTCTGTACTGTACAATAAGTACAGTACTGTACTGTATTCTCAGACCTACCAGTTTCGTCCATGTTGTACACGTCACGTGGCGCATAACCAGCAACCACGGCCTTGAGGTGTGGAAGAGCCTCCTCTAGAGCGCCCATATCTGCTGAGCCACTCTCGCCATGAATGCGGACAGCTCGCAGTTTGTGGCGTTGCTGGAATTTGTGGAGCCACCCATGCGAAAAGCTGATGTTTTCCTCCGAGACGCCCATTGATCCCGCAAAGGTCTGAGCCTTGGCCGGTATGAGATCTCCAGTGAGAGCGACCCCACGGTGCTGGCACTGCAAGACCCAGAAGGCGACGGCCTCCGTCACAGCTGGGTGCTGGACAGTCCGAGGACGCTTAGCGCTGATGTCAGTGGTGTCCATTGCCTCAAGCTCCTACCTTTTTTTGATGATTTTGCTGATCGCTGCCTGGGAAAGTGCCTTCTGGAGGTTAAAGGCGTCCTTTGTCCAAGCCACCAGGGCAGTCTGGGTGATGCGCGGGTTAGCATCCTGGTGCTTGCAGATGCGCAGCTTCTGCTCGTTGGTAAGACGTATCTGCGACATCTGTTGTGAGTGAGCAAGGTACAGTTGGTGAAACTTCTTAATTAGAGATAGCAAAATCACCAGAGACTGGTGGGGCAACCAAAATCACAAAATCTTCATAGGGCACGTGACACGTGACAGACAGGTTTTGGAAGCCTGGAGGTTTGTTGCGTTTTTGATTCTTTAATTAATTAAATTAATAATTTTCCGCAGCATACCTCTGCTATGGAATAACCTCTGTTATGTTATATATTTGCCTTCCACCAAGTCTATAACTTAGCAGAGGGAATACTGTACTTATTCTGATGACAGAATAAGGCGGTGCCTCGTAACTTCACGTACACTCGTACGTGCAGAGGAAGACGGCAAGAAGAAGCGATTACTTAGTTTAAGTAAAAAGTAGATCTGTATTTATCATCGTTAATGTCTGCAATAAACCCCCTGCTTATCCTCATCTAACTATTTCTAAATACAAATGTGCATATCAACTATCTGCTCACCACTCATTGCGTGCGTCTGTCGTGGCGCGTCTTCGTTGGTTGATATAATGGCCTATATCAACCAATTAGGAACTACTCGTAAGTGCTGCAGAATATTTGTCCTTATGACAATATTCTGAGAATGTAACTCTTATAGTTATATTCTGTTAACAATTTCTTATAAATTGTTATGCAACAATTCACCCCGTTACATCACCCCCCTTAACCATCAGTCACTTTAGTGACTGATTGACTAAATGGATACTCGTCCCAAATCATTTGGGACAGGGTTTGCACTTGTTGGTCCGAGTCCACTTCCCAACAATCCATCGCATGGTTAACAAGCCCATGCGATGCGCGAGCAAGGCCGCCGAGAGCGCGTCCGCACGTCTCTGTGCGGACGCCGAGGCAGAAACCACAGCAACTGATGTCTCATCGGTTGCTGAAGCGACCCAGCCTGTGTCACTTGGTGATGCAGGCGCTGGTCATGAAGGCACTCATGTCTTCACAGAGTACGAGCTCGGTGTCTCGTACTCTCCTGATACGGAGGACGGATCCGTATCGACGGCGATCGAATCCAAGCCTCCTACCAAGCGTGGCATGGATGATGCTATACGTCGTAGCATCTTTGGTTCATCTGATGAATCAGATGAACCATCGCCGAAGCGAAGGCGCTCGAGGTCGCGAGACTCGGGCGCTAACAGTGGTGTCGGTTCTCCTATGGACACCACTTCGCAACGAGGTGCCAGTCCTTCTGTCGGCACGTCGCAGGAAGAGCGGGACCGCAATGTCTTGCGTCTCGCTCCCGAGAAGAAGGCATGAATGCCTCCCAAATCCGTCATGGATAGCTTGTCAGCGACGACGAGTGATCGTTATCGAACACGATTGTTCGATTCGTCAAGGATCCATCACCTTGACCACAGCGCGAAAAACTATCGCGCTGAGAATAAATTCTTCATCGATGCTTTCTTTAGACATCGATGGTACAGTGGGAATCACAAGCGTGATGGTCCCTCACTGCTTCAGGCGTGGAACGCCTACATCCATAACCTTGAGGATGTAGGTCGTGACGCTTGGAACGACAAACTTATCAAAGCTCGTGATAAGTTTGAAAAGCGAACCCCGACAGGTGCACGCTACAAGCTGCATCTTCTGTCAAGGGAGAAAGGATTACCCTGCCTCTCTTGGGGAGACTCGTGCCCATGTTGTGTGAACAACTCTGCACGAGCACCTAAGGAGGCTTACCTCCCTAATAGCCCGTGGTGGCGCGTACGTATCTCTACTGAGATGTACGAAGGGATTGACAACCTGAAATCCCTTTACGACCGTGCCGGGAAGACTTTCTCCGGCGGTCCTTCTGCGGCACAGGATGTGCCGCTTTGTACTGCTCGACCAGACCCAGTATGTCAACCATCAGGTGGGAGCGGGGCTCCCAAGTATCCCAGGACGGGGGATAGCCGCGCCACCGGACGAGATAACTCGTCCGACGTCCGTTCACGTCGCGGTGGTTCAACAGCTGCTCAACCAGATAGCGCTGGCCACCGCGAGAGTCCTCTAATGGAGGCGGAGGAGGAGGAAAGACGCTCTCCACACAATCGTGGTGATCCGTGTGTTCCCGAGAGCTTCTTTGATCGCGTAACGCAAGGGTTACGCGGCGATCTCGAACATGAGCGGGACAGGCGTCTCCAACTGGCGGACGCTGTCTCGAAACATCGAGCTGAGTTTGCCTTTGCTCAGCTTGAGAACGAGAGAGCTCTGACATCTCTTCGTGACGAGCTAAGGGTAGCTCGTGGGATTGTTGATCGGTCTCGGGTTGAGATAACTGCTCTTCAGACCCTTGTTAATGCCCAACATCGGGAGCACAAGGCTCTCTGTGAGATGCTTGAGCGCAATGGCGGTCTTCATCGGAAGAAGCAGCGTACTGATGGTACGGCTTAAGCCGACCAACGTAAAACGTGGGATGCGTTCGCATCTTACGTGGTAACTCGATCGTGTATGCATTGCCTAGGCGGTGCAATGCACGAAATGGGCCGATGTACTTGGGTAGTAGTTTACTGCTACCCAAGTTAGTCACTACATGCTTTGGTATATTAGCCGTAGACAGTAAGACTAAGTCACCTTTATTAAATAAAAAAGTGTTTGCCCTTCCATTCTTATCAGCGTTTTGCTTTTGCTTATCCACCGCTACGGAGATGGAGTCTTGCACAAAACGGACTACCGTTTTACGAGCCAGTATGAATTCATCTGATGACTCGTTAGCTTCAGTGCGCTGTGAGTTCACTGCAGCAACATCAACCTTTCTTCAGTGAGGGCTTCCGCACTCTCACTGGCATCATCTTCTTCGATATCGATGTTATCGATATCGGCATCAAACGCAATGACCTCTTCGTCAGAGCGTGATGAGCGTGAACCAAATCGGTTTTTGCTCGCGCAAGTCTCTCCACCCTTAAACCAGAGTTACACTCTAGTAAGGTGGGTACACGCGGATGGCGCAAGCCATTCACGTAAAACGGTGTATGTGTCGTGGACGCATGCACCGAGTTGTTAATGGCAAACTCTACCATTGGCAAAAACTCACTCCAACTCTTAAAGGAGTGTACATATCCTCGAAGTATCTCTTCGAGGACACGATTGGCACGTTCCGTCTGACCATCTGACTCTGGATGATCAGATGTAGACATCTTCAGGCGCGTTCCGAGTGATTTGAACACGGAACGCCAGAAATCAGCAGTGAATCGTGGATCTCTGTCTGATACGAGTTCACGGGGCAACCCATGAAGTCGAAAGATGGTGTCAATAAAGACACAAGCACAGCCACTTGCCGTGATTGACTCTGGTACAGCCGATAGGTGTACCATTTTGCTGAATCTGTCAACGAATACAAGAATACCCGTATTCCCGCGTGCGCCTTTGGGTAACCCGAAGACAAAATCCATTTTGATGGATTCCCAGCACTCAGCCGGAACCGGTAGAGGCTGTAAAGGTGCACGCCGTGAAGGACTTGACTTCACTCGTTGACAGACTTCGCATGCGCAGACATACTTTCGCACAAACTGATACTGGCGGGGCCAGTAAAAGTCTCTACTTACCGTGAGATATGTTTTCTCTCGGCCACGATGTCCTCCTATAAGAGCATCGTGATACTCGAGCATGATCCGCAAACGCAGATCAGTATCATCTGGAATGACAACACGTGGTGTGTCACCAGAAACGGCTGTATCGTACGGTAAACTCGTTGCGAGTAGTGTATCGATCTGATGCAGGTCGATACGCAGACGATAATCGTTTCAACGATTCTCGAGATGGCTGTGAAAGATGTGTCAACAACTTCATAATCTCACCATCTGGGCATACGCCCGCCTCACATCATCATGCAACGTTGTAGATGGGACTGAGGACGTCATAACCGCAACAGTGACTGTCTCGCTGTTGGGTTTCACGACTGGTTAAAAGTCGGGACGACGTGAGAGTGCATCAGCGACGACATTAAGTCGTCTTGGTTTGTACTCGACCGTAAAGTTGTATTCTGCAAAGAATGACAACCACCGCGCCATTCGTTGTGAAAGGTGCGGGCTGTTCACTGCCGTGCGTAATGAAGCATGGTCAGTGTAAACAATGAAGGGTCTATCTCCTAATAGATAGACTCTGAACTTCGCGAGTGCATACTTCATGGCAAGGAGTTCCTTGTCATGCACTGGATAGTTCCGCTCAGCTGGTTGCAGCTGACTTGACTGATAGCAGACGACGCGTTCAACGCCTTCAAGATCGTACTGCATTAATGCACAGCCGACTGCGAAATCGCTGGCATCACAGACCACATGAAATGACCTGTCCAGATCGGCTATTGCTAGAACTGGGGATTGTATCAAGTTCTGCTTAATACCATCAAAGGAGCGCTGACACTCAGCGTTCCATAACCACCTCTCGTTCTTTTTCAACAAACGAGAGAGATGTACAGTCATCTCGGCGTAATTGCGTGAATACTTATGCAAATACGCCGCTAGCCCAAGGAATTTTCGAAGACCTTTGACATCAACCGGCACAGGCCAGTCGGTGATCGCCTTAATCTTTTCGGGATCAGGACGTACACCGTTCTTACCAACGATGCACCCAAGAAGTGGTATTTCGCTTGCTGCAAATATACACTTCTTGAGGTTTGCATACAATTGATGCTTTCGCATGATTGTAAGAACCTGCCGGACGTGGTACCTGTGAACCTTAACGTCCGACTTTCCATCCATAGCTCGACTATGGATGAATACGTCATCGAAATAACTCGGCGCGAATTCTCGTACTGGTCTCAACAGATGTGTATCACATCTGTTGAGCGTGACAGGGGCATTACTGAGCCCTTGTGGCATTACTAGCCATTCCCAGAGCATGCCGCTAGGCGTGCTAACTGCGGTATAGGGTATATCCCGTTTCCCGCATAAGGATTTGATAAAAGCCATCCATCAAATCCATGGACGAAAAGATGGTACTCTTTGACATACCATCAATGATTACATCCTTCCTCGGTATCGGTGTCTGAGCCGGTACCGTTGCAGCATTCAACTTGTTAAATGCATGCACTATCCGCCACCTTCCTGTTGCTTTTCGCACACAGAAGGTCGGAGAGCTATGTGGGGAAGTTGACTCCCTCACATGGCCCGCAGCTAAACGATCGGCAAAGAACTTGTCGATCGCAAGTACTTGTTCACGAGGCAGTGGCCACTGCTTCATGACACAGTACTTCGAGCCTGGTTTAAGCTCGACCTCGTGTCGAGTACCTTTATCCTTCGGTAATTCGCACGGAACAGTTTCAGGGAATACATCCTTTGATTCAACCAAATCTTCATAGAAAGGATTTGTCTTGAGCGATTCCCATGATTGGGAGTCATATCGCTCAATTCGTGTCTTTTCATCTAGGACACTCTCGTCCATCGATGAACTACTGAGAACTCTCTCGTTCTCAGTGAACACTGTTGCTGACATTATGTCGGTTACACACGCGTCGTCAGCGACGAGTACGCAGATCTGCTTGACTTTGCCACTACGCAGATCACGCAAGAACCTTTTATGTTCGAGCGTTGGCAACTGAGTGATCTCCGAAGTCAACTTCGGAGGCGCAATCAGATCAAGTGTATAAGCGCCTACGCTTGATCCGTTATTGACTGTGACATTTAATGTCTCTGTCATTTCCTGGGGACTTATTCCTTCAAACCTCAAAGGACTTACTCCTTCGGCTTCCCGGGGACTTATTCCCGCGGGTTTCGGGGAACTTATTTCCGCCGTATTTGTAATATCGGGACTTATTCCCTTAACTTCCTCTAGCTGGGGTTGCGCAACCACAGCGAGATCCTCTACGAAAGACTCTTCAGTCGATCTAGGATTATCGTTTCGCTTAACCTGAGCGATCGATTGTTTATCTTCTAGATGTTCCCCGCTAGGGATACATCTTTGTCCCGGTCCACTCGACTTATTCGAGTGGTGGACCTTCGGCGCAGCCTGTGTTTCGTCACAGCCGCCGGAACTTTGCTCCGAAGTGTAACCGTTTGTTACACTAAGGTTTCGTGCAGTCGTACTAATGACCGTACCACAAGTGAGGCCATCGCACTCACTCGTAGTACATCTACACGCTTGTGGACGCTCCAAAACGTTCATCAGATGGCCATCTGATGAACAAGCGGCAGGCATCGTTACTGTTCGATGTTGCCAGTTTACTCGTGCTTCGTGCCTTCTGAGCCACAGTATTCCAAGGATGACATCAAATTTGTCATCCAAATCCAATACGATAAAGTCATCGTCGTATTGGGTATCTTTTAGCGTATAGTGGATCTTCACTATACGCTTCATGACGGTTACGGATGCGCCTGTCGCAAGACGTACCGTCATCGTCGTAGGAGGTGTGTCACATTCACTGAATTTAAAGTGACCATCTTCTAGCGATTGGCGTCGCACAAAATTGTTGGACGCCCCACAATCGACTAGAGCTCGAAGGGACAACTTATTCGTCACTTCGAGTTTCAAGGTAATGAGTGAGACCTCATTACCTAGAGCAGCAACGCACAACGTTTGTGTGTTGGGAGTAACCTTCATCAAGAGGCCTACAAATTCTCTTGATGTTGCTGGACCAGTAGGGTGCTCCGCACCTTTTGATCCTGTCCGTTTTCTTACGGTCCATCCCGTTGTTGCGTCTTTGCACCAACAGCGGACCCTCGTCCCTTCCCATTTCTCATGGGTGGACGGTCACTACGCTCAGTGTTACGAGAAACTGGACGAGGGGCACTACACTCGTAAGCTTAGTGTCCTGTCTTTTGACATCTGTTGCATCTCTGCAACTTCTTGTAGCCTGTAGAGCGAGCCTTCTCGCTCTCTACATAACAGAGTTCCATCGGCTCTGGACCTCCGTTATCAAATCGTCTCGGTTGACGATATGATGTCGAGCTGGCGCGAGCCTGTCTCAGACTGAAGTCTTCCTGTTCCGCAATGGAAGTGGTTCGTTCTAGTGAATCTAGTTCAAGCCGGAACAGGTGAGTCTTGACGGGACCATCCGCAAGACCCTGCATGAACACCGAAACCAACGTGTGTTCATCCACCGGATTGGAACTTATACAACTCGTGAGATGTCGTATATGTTGTGCGCAAGCGTGCACATCACGCTTACCTTGTTTGAGCTTCAAGAGTTCGGTCCGAGCTCTGAACTCAGCTCTAGGCGGTTCAAACGTTTGTCTGAGCCGCGACTTGAAGACTTCCAACGATCCGAACTCTTATGGATCGTGCAACTTGAGCCCCAAAGCCCAAGTCTTGGCACGATTGGCCAAATGCAACTTGCATATCCCCGTCGTCGATGCGACGCGCCCTATGGCGTCATCCAATTCGACGAACCATCTCTAGAGGGAGTCCTCTTCGACTCCCCTACACTCGGAGATGTCAATCTTCAAGGTTTCGGGTCGACGCGAGTGCATCGACCCACCAGCAGCAGCCTGCTGCTGTCTCAACAGCTCGAACTGTTGAGCACCCTGTTCTCTCAACAACTCTGCTTGTAGAGAACCTTGTTGGTGAAGCAAGGCTACTTTCTCGCGTTCAGCGTCAAGTTCATTTTGAATGAACTTGGCGATATAGCATGTTGGGCATCTCTATTGAGAGCCTCTAGCATGACGCTAACAGCATGGATGCCCATGGTCGAACCCATTCGTTCAACCGCATCCCATTCGACATCGCTCAAATGGGAGTAGCCGTCACGCGTAGCGTGAAAGCTTTGGTCATCTTCATCATCCAACATATTCACGTTGGACGTAAACGCGGTCCTTGGACGGACTACGAAGTGCTACCAGGTGTAACGGGGCACCCTGAAGCTTGTACTGGTGACATTACAAGCTACTTATTCTGATGACAGAATATGGCGGTGCCTCGGAACTTCACGTACACTCTTAAGTGCAGAGGAAGACGGTAAGAAGAAGCGAGTACTTGGTTAAAGTAAAAAGTAGAACTGTATTTATCATCGTTAATGTCTGCAATAGATCACTATTTATCTTCATCTAACTATGTCTAAATACAAATGTGCATATCAACTATCTGCTCACCACTCATTGCGTGCGTCTGTCGTGGCGCGTCTTCGTTGGTTGATATAATGGCCTATATCAACCAATTAGGAACTACTCGCAAGTGCTGCAGAATGTTGTCCTTATGACAATATTCTGAGAATGTAACTCTTATAGTTATATTTTGTTAACAATTTCTTACAAATTGTTATGTAACGATTCACCCCGTACAACAAATATTAGTGTGTGTAGGCGCAAGAAAACCTGCGGAATATGACGCATATGATGCTTATGATGCAAGTGTAGGGGGCTTGCTCCCCGAGTTTTAGTATCAGGCTGAGGTCAGATTCCAGTTTTGCATTCCACGGACGTGTTGCTACCTCTACCAGTATATTGTGTTTTCAACCATATTAAAATTGTAGTGAAATTGCCTGAACGCGGCAAATAGCTGAGCAAACGGTGGACCGATTGCATTGGTAAAAGAAATTGAGGAAGCATAGAGGAGTGGGTTGTCAAAACTGTTTAATGACACCCCAAACAATCACTGTGCCGTACTGCCGACTGTTAGAGGTGGTACCCCGATGCCGTGGTGGACCTCGATTTATCTTGTCTACCCGTCGGCTTGGCGGGTTTCACTCCTCGGAGGAATTGGTGGTGATGTAGACATCGGCCTTGGTGGAGGTCGACCTGGGGGGAGGCGAGTGGATATGCTGTAGTCGGGGTCCAACGAAGGCGGCCACTCGATTGAATTGGTCGAGGGAAGTCTTATATCCAGTTGTCTCAGGTGCTGGAGGTGCATGACCTCTACTTGCTTCAGGCATGTTAACCATTTGACCCTAACGTTTATTCTCCCTTGCCACTAGGGTATGGAGACCGCTTCCTGTAGCGGGCTTGAATTGGGGGGGTGCTATTTTACGAACCCACAGGACGATGAACTTCCTGTGGATCTACCTATGCTTGTATCTTACTGACAGCTGTCTATTCGACGGGTAGGCCAAACAGATCCTTGGCCCGAAACAGGTCGGTATACTTACAAGTTTCTTAGCGCACGACACGTCGTGCTACTTAGATCACAAATTGAGTAGTATTAGATGTTAATCTATCCTCTAAACTTCTTTACTCTGCTTTTGCCTTGAGCCTAGGTTTGCAATGATGAGTGGCTAGAAGCCTCCAGACCTGAATGCTTCAAGTCACCACACTGGTGACCAGGTCTGCCAATGGGTGGCCAGGTTTACAGGTGACCAAGGCCCACCTTGGGCGACCAGGCCGACCGATGGATAGCCAGGTCGGCCTACGACGAACCGAGGTCTACCTTGGGCGACCAAGCCGACCAACAAGTAGTTGGGAACGATCCATATCGGTACCGTTTGACTGGTACCGTCGGTCGGTTTGCCTTAACCGCTTGTCACGGTTGGACTTAACGACCGCTCCTTCATGTGACCCCCAAGTCTACGGTCCCTATCCCGGCCGCGAAATCCCATGTCCGTTCGGCTTGTCGACTTAAGTCCATCATTTTCGAATACTCGCTTCACCACAAATGCTGCTTCGTACACGACCTCTGCGGATGATACCGAAAGCTTGGGGGTTAAGATGCAAGCTATAACCCATTGTGCAACGTCGCACTAAAGCACCATACTGGACAACCAGTGTGGAGATATGAACACCGACAGAATTGTGATTGGTGCCTCGCTACCTCTATTTATATAAAGAGGCAGGAAAACAACTAGAAGATGACAAGTTGCTGGTATAACTGAATTTTGTATCAAGCATAATTAGTTATTCCAATCATTAGCCTATGTTTTAGTCCTTACTCAATCATACTTATCTCATTCCTCCCTAGTTCCGTGAATCAGCGAATTCCACGAAAATAGGCTATTTCTCATCACCATGAGAATTAATTAAGTTTTTTTTTAATTATATTAAAATACGCCGCTTTTTATGCAAGTTTTGACACCACTTTCAACTGTTGGCACTGCATGCAGCCCTCTAGCGAAAAATCGGTGATTGACAATCTCGTGTCACCCTGTCTAAGTTTCAAAATACTGAAGTCGCTCTCGACCGTGCTGGTGTCGGGGTAAGCTGCAGCGATGCCACTACACAAAGTAGGCGTACAAACCTTCCTTGGACCAGACGACAGCCCTCCTCGAACGAAGTGTTGATTTAGTTGCATTTGGCGAGTGCTGCATCAGGCTATTCCTCGGTCTACATGGCAGTCATTGAATCCCTGGAATTCGATCTCGATGCCGGCAATCGACCCGTCGTCCCATCATGGCTGCAAACGGTCACGGAATTAACCATAAATCAAGGGGAAAAGGGGGCTGGAGATGGACGAGCACGTGCGGAAGGCCTGGAGGCAAGTTATCGTCAGTTGGATCGTCTTCATTATGCTCAGCTTGGATCTCGCACATATTGTCGACATCGCGATGATCGTGTACGCAATTTGGAATCGGACATTGTACTGATCGGCCTGATCGAGCGTCTTGAACAGCTAGGTCTCCCAGGACCCCTGATCGACGACGATGCCAGACAAGCTGTTGTTGCTAATTCAGAAACGATTCATGCTGGGGTTTTCATCAGAGTTTATTTTTTTGTCGTTATCGGGCCGTAAACGTTATAAGGATGAATATTTGACCTGCAAGAAGACCCAGCTCGTGCTTTTGCTGCAATAGAAGCATCGATCGGCCTTACAGCTTCCTAAAAATGATGTTTGTTTGCTCAAGAAGCGCAGTGGCTACCGCTAGGATGACCTTTTACTAAGAATATGGCGTCTTGTTCGGGTCGCCCTTCTCGACAATGAGCTGGAAAAGACCGACGCTAATCCCCAGCAAGAAGTTTGTCAATCGGCGGACGGCAAACCAGCGCGTTGTCAATTTCGGGCACTTAATCCACATCTTGGCAATCAGAATTCTTTGCTTTTGCAGCCAGGACGCCATGCGGTTGGCCATCACGTGTATATTGCCCCCTAGTATGGCGAGGACTGCTTTTTGACATGAACATCCATTGGTGAAGCCCGCACCAAGAACGAATGAGACAAAAAAATCACTTGTGATCAATTAGATTCACAATTCCTTTGTGGTGCCCGGTCATCTTATTAAAATAAACTTACGATCAATTTGTCTCTTAGCTTTTGTGTGGCGCCTGGTCATCGCATTTTCCATCCGATCCGTAGTTGGAGATTTTTGAGCGCCACTTTGGAACCAGCGCGTTAAAAACCAGACCAACCAGCTAGTCATGTTCTTGGAAGTATGGCGATTAAATGCTAGGAAACCAAACACATGGAAATTTTAGAAGACGTTATTTAGGTGGAATCGGACTCGTTGGTCAAAATAAGAACTGCCATTGTAACGGGGTGAATCGTTACATAACAATTTGTAAGAAATTGTTAACAAAATATAACTATAAGAGTTATATTCTCAGAATATTGTCATAAGGACAAATATTCTGTAGCACTTACGAGTAGTTCCTAGTTGGTTGATATAGGCCATTATATCAACCAACGAAGACGCGCCACGACAGACGCACGCAATGAGTGGTGAGCAGATAGTTGATTTACACATTTGTATTTAGACATAGTTAGATGAAGATAAATGGTGATTTATTGCAGACATTAACGATGATAAATACAGATCTACTTTAAACTTAAACCAAGTACTCGCTTCTTCTTGCCGTCTTCCTCTGCACGTACAAGTGTACGTGAAGCTCCGAGGCACCGCCTTATTCTGTCATCAGAATAAGTAGCTTGTACTGTCACCAGTACAAGCTTCAGGGTGCCCCGTTACACCTGGTAGCACTTCGTAGTCCGTCCAAGGACCGCGTTTACGTCCAACGTGAATATGTTGGATGATGAAGATGACCAAAGCTTTCACGCTACGCGTGACGGCTACTCCCATTTGAGCGATGTCGAATGGGATGCGGTTGAACGAATGGGTTCGACCATGGGCATCCATGCTGTTAGCGTCATGCTAGAGGCTCTCAATAGAGATGCCCAACATGCTATATCGCCAAGTTCATTCAAAATGAACTTGACGCTGAACGCGAGAAAGTAGCCTTGCTTCACCAACAAGGTTCTCTACAAGCAGAGTTGTTGAGAGAACAGGGTGCTCAACAGTTCGAGCTGTTGAGACAGCAGCAGGCTGCTGCTGGTGGGTCGATGCACTCGCGTCGACCCGAAACCTTGAAGATTGACATCTCCGAGTGTAGGGGAGTCGAAGAGGACTCCCTCTAGAGATGGTTCGTCGAATTGGATGACGCCATAGGGCGCGTCGCATCGACGACGGGGATATGCAAGTTGCATTTGGCCAATCGTGCCAAGACTTGGGCTTTGGGGCTCAAGTTGCACGATCCATAAGAGTTCGGATCGTTGGAAGTCTTCAAGTCGCGGCTCAGACAAACGTTTGAACCGCCTAGAGCTGAGTTCAGAGCTCGGACCGAACTCTTGAAGCTCAAACAAGGTAAGCGTGATGTGCACGCTTGCGCACAACATATACGACATCTCACGAGTTGTATAAGTTCCAATCCGGTGGATGAACACACGTTGGTTTCGGTGTTCATGCAGGGTCTTGCGGATGGTCCCGTCAAGACTCACCTGTTCCGGCTTGAACTAGATTCACTAGAACGAACCACTTCCATTGCGGAACAGGAAGACTTCAGTCTGAGACAGGCTCGCGCCAGCTCGACATCATATCGTCAACCGAGACGATTTGATAACGGAGGTCCAGAGCCGATGGAACTCTGTTATGTAGAGAGCGAGAAGGCTCGCTCTACAGACTACAAGAAGTTGCAGAGATGCAACAGATGTCAGAAGACAGGACACTAAGCTTACGAGTGTAGTGCCCCTCGTCCAGTTTCTCGTAACACTGAGCGTAGTGACCGTCCACCCATGAGAAATGGGAAGGGACGAGGGTCCGCTGTTGGTGCAAAGACGCAACAACGGGATGGACCGTAAGAAAACGGACAGGATCAAAAGGTGCGGAGCACCCTACTGGTCCAGCAACATCAAGAGAATTTGTGGGCCTCTTGATGAAGGTTGCTCCCAACACACAAACGTTGTGCGTTGCTGCTCTAGGTAATGAGGTCTCACTCATTACCTTGAAACTCGAAGTGACGAATAAGTTGTCCCTTCGAGCTCTAGTCGATTGTGGGGCGTCCAACAATTTTGTGCGACGCCAATCGCTAGAAGATGGTCACTTTAAATTCAGTGAATGTGACACACCTCCTACGACGATGACGGTACGTCTTGCGACAGGCGCATCCGTAACCGTCATGAAGCGTATAGTGAAGATTCACTATACGCTAGAAGATACCCAACATGACGATGACTTTATCGCAATGGATTTGGATGACAAATATAACGTAATCCTTGGAACACCGTGGCTCAGAAGGTACGAACCACGGGTTAACTGGCAACATCGAACAGTAACGATGCCTGCCGCTTGTTCATCAGATGGCCATCTGATGAACGTTTTGGAGCGTCCACAAGCGTGTGGATGTACTACGAGTGAGTGCGATGGCTTCACTTGTGGTACGGTCGTTAGTACGACTGCACAAAACCTTAGTGTAACAAACGGTTACACTTCGGAGCAAAGTTCCGGCGGCTGTGACGAAACACAGGCTGCGCCGAAGGTCCACCACTCGAATAAGTCGAGTGGACCGGGACAAAGATGTATTCAAAGCGGGGAACATCTCGAAGAGAAACAATCGATCGCTCAGGTTAAGCGAAACGATAATCCTAGATCGACTGGAGAGTCTTTCGTAGAGGATCGCGCTGTGCTTGCGCAACCCCAGCTAGAGGAAGTCAAGGGAAAAGTCCCAAGATTACAGATACGGCGGAAATAAGTTCCCCGAAACCCGAGGGAATAAGTCCCCGGGAAGCCGAATGAATAAGTCCTTCGAGGCCTGAGGGAATGAGTCCCCAGGAAATGACAGAGACATTGAATGTCATAGTCAATGATGGATCAAGTGTGGGCGCTTACACACTTGATCTGATTGCGCCTCCGAAGTTGACTTCGGAGATCACTCAGTTGCCAACGCTCGAACATAAAAGGTTCTTGCGTGATCTGCGTAGTGGCAAAGTCAAGCAGATCTGCATACTCGTCGCTGACGACGAGTGTGTAACCGACATAAGGTCAGCAACAGTGTTTACTGAGAACGAGAGAGTTCTCAGTAGTTCATCTATGGACGAGAGTGTCCTAGATGAAAAGACACGAATTGAGCGATATGACTCCCAATCATGGGAATCGCTCAAGACAAATCCTCTCTCTGAAGATTTGGTTGAATTTAAGGATGTATTCCCTGAAACTGTTCCGTGCGTGTTACCGAAGGTTAAAGGTAATGACACGAGGTCGAGCTTAAACCAGGCTCGAAGTACTGTGTCATGAAGCAGTGGCCACTGCCTCGTGAACAAGTACTTGCGATCGACAAGTTCTTTGCCGGTCGTTTAGCTGCGGGCCATGTGAGGGAGTCAACTTCCCCACATAGCTCTCCGACCTTCTGTGTGCGAAAAGCAACAGGAAGGTGGCGGATAGTGCATGCATTTAACAAGTTGAATGCTGCAACGGTACCGGCTCAGACACCGATACCGAGGAAGGATGTAATCATTGATGGTATGTCAAAGAGTACCATCTTTTCGTCCATGGATTTGATGGATGGCTTCTATCAAATCCTTATGCGGGAAACGGGATATACCCTATACCGCAGTTAGCACGCCTAGCGGCATGCTCTGGGAATGGCTAGTAATGCCACAAGGGCTCAGTAATGCCCCTGTCACGCTCAACAGATGTGTATCACATCTGTTGAGACCAGTACGAGAATTCGCGCCGAGTTATTTCGATGACGTATTCATCCATAGTCGAGCTATGGATGGAAAGTCGGACGTTAAGGTTCACAGGTACCACGTCCGGCAGGTTCTTACAATCATGCGAAAGCATCAATTGTATGCAAACCTCAAGAAGTGTATATTTGCAGCAAGCGAAATACCACTTCTTGGGTGCATCGTTGGTAAGAACGGTGTACGTCCTGATCCCGAAAAGATTAAGGCGATCACCGACTGGCCTGTGCCGGTTGATGTCAAAGGTCTTCGAAAATTCCTTGGGCTAGCGGCGTATTTGCATAAGTATTCACGCAATTACGCCGAGATGACTGTACATCTCTCTCGTTTGTTGAAAAAGAACGAGAGGTGGTTATGGAACGCTGAGTGTCAGCGCTCCTTTGATGGTATTAAGCAGAACTTGATACAATCCCCATTTCTAGCAATAGCCGATCTGGACAGGTCATTTCATGTGGTCTGTGATGCCAGCGATTTCGCAGTCGGCTGTGCATTAATGCAGTACGATCTTGAAGGCGTTGAACGCGTCGTCTGCTATCAGTCAAGTCAGCTGCAACCAGCTGAGCGGAACTATCCAGTGCATGACAAGGAACTCCTTGCCATGAAGTATGCACTCGCGAAGTTCAGAGTCTATCTATTAGGAGATAGACCCTTCATTGTTTACACTGACCATGCTTCATTACGCACGGCAGTGAACAGCCCGCACCTTTCACAACGAATGGCGCGGTGGTTGTCATTCTTTGCATAATACAACTTTACGGTCGAGTACAAACCAGGACGACTTAATGTCGTCGCTGATGCACTCTCACGTCGTCCCGACTTTTAACCAGTCGTGAAACCCAACAGCGAGACAGTCACTGTTGCGGTTATGACGTCCTCAGCACCATCTTCAACGTTGCATGATGATGTGAGGCGGGCGTATGCCCAGATGGTGAGATTATGAAGTTGTTGACACATCTTTCACAGCCATCTCGAGAATCGTTGAAACGATTATCGTCTGCTTATCGACCTGCATCAGATCGATACACTACTCGCAACGAGTTTACCGTACGATACAGCCGTTTCTGGTGACACACCACGTGTTGTCATTCCAGATGATACTGATCTGCGTTTGCGTATCAT